TGCGTCTTCTAATCTATTCCACTGATCCTCCAATCTGTTTCTTTAGCAGGCTGCTTTTTTTTTTTTTTTAATCACAGTGGCTTTGTAGTATAGTTTCAAGTTGGGGATTGTGATACCCCCTGCCATGTCTCTGTTGCCTAGAATTGCTTTTGCTATTCTAGTTCTCTTCTGGTTCCAAATGAATTTTTGCATTGTTTTCTCTAGTTCTTTGAAATATACTATTGGGATTTCAATCGGGATTGCATTGAATCTGTATAGCAGTTTTCGAAGTATGGCCATTTTCACTATATTGGATCTTCCTACCCAGGAACAAGGGATGTCTTTCCATTTTCTTTTGTTTTTCTTTTTTTCTTTTTTTGGTGCCGGGGATCCAACTCGGGTCCTTGCACTTGCAAAGCAGGCAGCGGAGCCACTGAGCTAAATCCCCAGCCCGTCTTTCCATTTTTCTTATATCCTCTTCAATCTCTTTTTTCAGAGTGTTGTAGTTCTCAATGAAGAGGTCTTTTGCTTCCTTCGTTAGATTGATTCCTAGATATTTCATTTTTTTGGATGGTATTGTGAAAGGGATTGTTTCCCTAATTTCTCTATGAGTAGCTCTGTTGATGGTTTCTTTTGCTACAGAGCTACTCATAGTCTGTTATTTGTGTATGAGAAGGCTATTGATTTTTGAGTGTTTACCTGTATCCAGCTACTCTACTGAATCTGTCAATTAAGTCTAGAAGTCTTTTGGCAGTTTTTTGGGTCTTCTATGTAGAGTATCATATCGTCAGCAAATAATGACAGTTTAACTTCTTCCTTTCCTATCTTTATTGCTTTTATTTCTTTCTCTTGTCTAATTGCTGTGGCTATTGTTTCCAAAACTATATTGAACAGGAGTGGTGATAGTGCACGTCCTTGTCTTGCTCCTGATTTTAGTGTGAAGGATTTCAGTTTTTGACCATTTAGTATGATGTTAGTTGTTGGTTTTTCATAGATAGCCTTTATCAAGTTGAGATAAAGACCATCTATTCCAATTTTCTGCAGGGTTTTAATCATGAATGGGTGTTGAATTTTGTTGAATGCTTTTTCTGCATCTATTGAGATGATCATATGGTTTTTGTCCTTGACTCTGTTAATATAGTGTATAACATTTATTGATTGATG